GGTTTTCCCGTAGTGCTGTCCTTAGAAGCTATGTTCAGCATCACAACAGTTTCTGCGGCATTTTTCTTAAGCAGGAAGCAAAATTTCACAGCCGCATGCTGTTCTCTTAAATTGGCCATCCCAAAGAACAAGGTTTGAGTGAAATGGCTTTTATAAAAAATTGTCTGTGACCAGAAAGAACCTACCCAGGCAATACCACTGGGTGCACTAACTCAGACTGAGTTGCTTGATGCTCGCCTAGCAGGGAAAATGCATGCTAAGAAAGCTCCACTTGGCCTAGCACAATCCCCCTTTTTTTTGGAGGGGGTGTCCCCCTCTTCGAATGGCTCTTGTAGTTATATCCTTTGTTACTCCCACCAAAAGATGGTTGTTCTCCTGATAGGTCTGGGTGAGAAGGCCGGGAGGAGAAGGATTGGGTGCTATGATTCCCTGTGAGTGACAGTTAACAGGGTTAATGGTGAGAAATTTCACTACCAGCAACAGAGAAGAGTTAGGTGTGGCATGCCCTTTGGGCATTTACTGGCAGCCCTGGAAGACTGTAGCACACAGTCTGAGCAGAGCAGAAGCCAGGCCAGGGGCTGAGGGCCAGAGAGAGGCGTGCCCTGAGTGAACAGCCTCCTGAGCATTTCTCTCCTGCACAGTCAGGAGATTCCCTATTAAACCTCATCACCATGAGCACTGTCTGGGCATCCTTGTGGTCACTGTGATGGGTTATGGACTGAGAGAGCTGCTGGAGGAGATAGAGCCAGAATTGGTTGAGGGGCGGGCATGTTTAACCTCAGCCTCGTAGAAATCTGCCTTGGGTGATCTGATGTGGGGTTGATTTTCCTCCTGCCTGGAGTCTTGGGGGCGTCGTGGCTGTGCGTTGGCTGCTAACCATCGGCCGGCAGTTTGAAAGCACCAGGTGCTCTATGGGAGAAGGAACGAGCTTTCCAGTCCCGTCAGCAGGGACAGTCTCGGAAGCTCACAGGGGCAGTTCTACCCTGTCCTTTAGGGTCACTGTGAGTTGGCATCCCCACTCCATGGCAGTGAGTTGGTTTTTCTCCCCCGCTTAGCTGAAGGTCAGATGTCACCCCAACGTCATTCCATTTTTTACAATCAGTATAATTGTTTTATAGATGAGAGGAATGCCGAGAGGGGTTTATTGACTTGCCCAATGTTCCACGGCTGGGATTCAAGTCTGGGAAGAAAGCTGGCTACTTTAGGAAAACTTATTTGTCTAAGGGCGCGAGAGACAAAACATAATTTATTAAGGAGTTTAAGAAATAAGGCTTCTGGAGACATTTAGTGTTCAGG